TGCCTTTTTGATAGGAGCATTTAACTCATTTATATTAAATGAAATTAGTGATAAGGCAGATTATGGCTGTCATTTTTTTGTTTTCTATATGTCATATTTTCTTGGTTCCTCAATACCACCATTACTGCATCCTTTTATACTATGCATTTTCTAGGATATGATTTTAATTCTTTTGTTGTTTCTTTCACTCTATTTTTATATTTTATTTTATTTTATTTATTTATTGTTTATTTATTTTGAGATGGAGTCTCACTCTGTTGCCCAGGCTAGAGTACAGTAGCATGACCTAGGCTTGCTGCAACCTCCACCTCCTGGGCTCAAGTGATTCTCTTGCTTCAGCCTCCTGAGTAGCTGGGACTACAGGCATGCACCACCATGCCCGGCTAATTTTTGTATTTTTGGTAGAGACCGCACCCGGCCTCACTCTATTTTTAAAAAGTTATTTTGGGCTGGGTGCGGTGGCTCATGCATGTAATCCCAGCACTTTGGTTGGGAGTCTGAGGCAGGCAGATCAGGAGGTCGGGAGTACGAGACCAGCCTGGCCAATATGGTGAAATCCCATCTCTACCAAAAATGCAAAAAAAAAATTAGCTGGGCATGGTCTCACGCACCTGTAGTCTCAGTTACTCGGGAGGCTGAGGCAGAAGAATTGCTTGAATCCAGGAGACGGAGGTTGCAGTGAGCCGAGGTCGAGCTGCTGCACTCCAGCCTGGGTGACAGAACGATACTCAGTCTCACACACACACAAAAAAAGTTATTTTGTTAGTAGTTGCTCTCAGGATTACAATTAACATCGTAACTTAGAAACACTCTAGTTCATATTAATTCCAGCTTAATTTTAGTAGCTGATAAAAACTTTGCTCTAACATATCTCAATTTGTACTAATATTGCCATACAAATTACATCTTCAAGCATTATGAGACCAGCAAGATGGTTTTAGAATTATTGTTTCAAGCAATAGTCTTTTTATATCAGGTAGGAGAAAAGAGCTGCAGACAAAAATGTATTTATACCATATTTACCTACAGTTCCTTTTTTTTTTTCCCCCAACTTTGTCTTCACAGAATATTTACAGTTACCTTTAACAGTACTCTTTATTTATTTGTGTGGATTCAAGTTACTGTCTAGTGTCCTTTCAGATCAGCCAGAATTCCCTTTAGTATTTCCTACAAGTCAGGTGTGCTAATAACAAGTTCTTTCTGGTTTTATCTGGCAATATGTTAATTTCCTGTTCATTTTTGAAGGATATTTTTGCTGGATTTTAGACTTCTTGGCTGACAGTCTTTTTCTTTTAACACTTTGAATTTGTCATCCTATTGCCTTCTAGCCTCCTGGGTTTCTGATGAGAATTGAGCTGTTAATCCTTCTGAGGATACCTTGTCCATGATGAATTGCTTGTCTCTTGCTGCTTTCAACATTCACTCTTTGGCTTTCAAAATGTTAACTATGATATGATAGGTAGGGTTTGATTGTGATGTATCTTGGCGTGGATCTCTTTGAGTTTACCCTACTTGGCATTCATTGAGCTTTTTGGGTGTACAGGTTAATGTTGCATTAAATTTAGGTGGTTTTAGCCATTATTGCTTCACATTATTTCTACCTCTTTCCTCTCTTCTGGGACTCCCATTATTGTTGGTATTCTTAATGGTGCTCCATATGTCTCAGAGGCTCCGTTCATTTTTTTATTCCCTTTTTTTCTGTCCTTCAGACTAGATAATATGAATTTACATGTCTTCAATTTTGCTGATTGTTTCTTCTGCCAGTTTAAATCTTCTATTGAGCCTCACTAGTAAATTTTTCATTTCAGTTATTGTACTGTAGAATTTCAGTTTTGTTCTATTTTGTGATTTCTCTTTATTGATACTGTGGTGAGACAGTGTTCTCATAATTTTCTTCAGTTATTTAGACATGATTTCCTTTCCTTTAATTCTTTGAACAGTCTTCTTTTTTGACAGGGTCTCACTCTGTTGCCCAGGCTAGAGTGCAGTGGTGCAGTCATGGCTCACTACAGCCTCAACCTCCCAGGCTCAAGCAATCCTCCCACCTCAGCCTCCTGAGTAGCTGGGACCACAGACACTTGCCACCACGCCCAGCTAATTTTTTTAACTTTTCATGGAGACAAGGCCTCCCCATATTGCCCAGACTGGTGAACATGTTTATTATAGCAGATTTAAAGTCTTTACCTAATAAATCTAACATCTATGCTTCCTTGGAGGCAGTTATTTTGACTGTTATTTTTTCCCCGATGTATGAGCCATACTGTGTCTTTGCATGTCATAATTTTTTTTATTGAAAACTAGACATTTTTAACTATATATCAACTCCAGAAATCTTCCCAGATTTCTCCCATTGCCTGGGTTTGTGGTTTTTGCTCTTATTGCTGTTTGTTCAGTAACTTTCCCAGACTAATACTGTAGTCTTCATTCTTTGTTGTGTGTGGCCACTGAAGTTGCCACTCAGCTTAATGGCCAGCCGTGATGGCCAGATATTTCCTTAAATGAGAGGTCAGGCCCTTCTCCAGTCTTTTGCGGCATGAACATAGTGCTGCATATGTTCATGAACTTCTAGATTCCCAGAAATAAGTCAGAGCTTTTTAGAGTCCCCTATGAATATCTCATTTCCGTTTTTCCTTTTAAGATTTGGTCAACCTCTCATTAACCCCCACTGATAATCACTGCCTCAGGCAACTGCAGTGTTAAACAATTGCTGATGATTCTTTTCAAGAAACTTTACAGTGATGGAGCTTGTTCACACAGAGCAAGCTCTCAGTCCATTAAAAAAAGACACAACCTGAGAATAGAGCTTTTCAGGGAGCTTCCGGAAAGGTCATATAGTGACATTTCTCGGGGAATGGATATCTGGGGAGCTCTAAACCTGTTCTGCCCCCTCCAGTACCTGGTAGGCTCTTCATTTTCATAGCTACCTTAGTTGCAAAGCTGTTGGTTTTCAAGGCTAGTTCAGTGCTGGGGAGAGAGGCATGGAAATAAGGCAATTTAAAACACAACAGAGGTAATTGTTCTTACCAAAATTCAGCATTTTTCTTAAATCAGTGCTTCTTGGATTTTTGCAAAGTTCTGAAAAAGTTGATTTCAACAACTTTCTGCCAGTATTCTCATTGCTTTTATTGAGGGGCAGATTTTTTTGAGGTCCTTACTAACCATTCCAGAAGTGATTCTACACTACTATGTTACACTAAGATGTATTTGTCTACCTTGCACTTTAGATGGATCTTTCACCCATGAATGGTTTTGTACTATCATGCATTGGTAATTTTGGAAATTTTGGTTTACTGAGTTATGCAGATCTTCCTCATGTTAACACATTTTATTGTACAATATTTTTAAATAATATTTGTTAATATTACCACTGATTGAATCATAAGTTTCTTAAGTATTGGAAAGATATCAGGCTCACAGTGGCAGATGCAAGTTTTTCAAAATTACAACATTCACTTACAAGCTCAAATTTTATCATTTTCATTTGGTTTTCTGAAAGTGATAGACTCACTTTGTCCATTTTCAAGAAAATGTTAGCTAAATACCCAAGTCTGAATAGCCGTTGTTTGGTGCCACTGCTAATTACCCACATCTTTGCTTTTGCTCTATTAATACAAATGTTAACACTGTGTAAAATGCAAATGATGTCTTAGTATTATTATGAAAATAGTTTTTACCTAATGTGACCTTCTGAAGGTGTTCTGGGACCCCCAGGGTTTCCCTGTAACATGCTTTGAGAACCACTGTGTAGAGGAACTGGATCAGGATCTCTAGACCTTGTCTTCAAATATCAGAATGACTGGTTCATGATGATAGGTGAACTTCAGCTTTAGGACTCTATCAGACACATGCTGACCTGATTTTTTTTTAACTGAATACACGTAGGAGAGAGAACAATGCTTTTCCTTGCCCATCTGCAAAATAAGAATGTAGATACATTTTGCTAATTCTGTCATGAAAGTAGTGTGTAGTACAAAGTGTAATATTCATCTTTCCACATAAAAATGTTTCTTAATAAGTTTATTTTGCATATTTGTGTGATTTATTCATGAATCATCTAATCAATTAGTAATGTCTTATGAGTAATTCCATCCTTATAGCAACCTATTTTCTCATAGCCATTGGAAGCATATGGACTTCTAAAGATCTTAAAATATCAGTCAGGCAATTGTGGTGTTGATGAAATCATATTACTTCTTATCATCCTAGAGAAAAATCATTTTTGAAGCATCAGTAACCTATCTAAATGTCATTATTAACTTTTCTGTACTTTTCTGGGAAGATCAGTAGAATTTTGATGCTGTGAAAAATATTCAAAAGAACTTAAAGCATTTCTTAAACATTCTGTCATCTTAGGATGTCCATTGCAATCCTTGGTTTCTTTATGTTCTATTTAATTAGCCTTGGTTTCTAAAGAGAAGGAGTATGTCATTTTATTCAAGGTTTGAGGAATGTTCCAGAAATAGGAAATAGAGATAAATCTCACCATTGTAATTGAGGCATTGTCAATCCATCAGATTTTTCTTAAATGAAAAATAATGTATTCTCTAAATGTGCAGTTTAAATGTGGTAGAACTAATCATCAGTATTTTTTATTCTATTGTAATTATTGTGGATGGATTTTATTTATGTTGATATTTTAGTGGGAAAATGTAAACCATGTCCAATCCCTCCCTGGAGGGAAAAAGCAATGCTATATTCAACAGAATATTTGATCTTAGAAATACCCAGTTAAATAATGAACTAAATAAATGCAACTATTAAATCATTTAAAGTCTTAAGAATTTTCTACTAATCAGTTTTTCTTTTTGTTTGTGTATTATTTTTTAACTCTAAGATCCTAGGAAACAGCAGGCTTTCTTTTGATGTACTATCTGTTTATGAAAGGGGTCTCTAGGTAACTGTCATCTGTGTAAGAATTTTTTGCTTTGAAAGAGATTTGCCTGAAACTTCCAGTAATTCACTTACTTTCCAAGCCTTAACTATTTTTTTTTCTATTGCAGCCCTTTGGAGTGAATCAACCTGGACCTTATATCATGTATACAACTGTTGATGCAAATGGGTATCTGAAAAATGGATCAGGTAAGACCAGATACAATAATATATGTCCATAATGTATAAAAACTTCTGCAGTCAATATATTGGCAAGGTAAACTGCTGGAAAAAAATTGTTTTCACACTCCTTAAAAAAATCTTCACTTTCATTATATTTAGTCTTTCCATAGACTTACATTGGTAGATTATAAAAGGTTCTTATGACAAAAAATGTTCACTTTCAGTTCTTCTTAGATCCCTATTACAATGGAGCCAACTCATTATCCTTATTTTTTAGTTGAAGTAGCAGAGAGATTGGGTGAAATTACTTGTGTTTTCTTGGTCAGAGAGTGAAGTGCAAATTAGTTAATTAAGTTCATCTTAGAAGAAGTAAAAATTAAGAATCTAATTAATACTATGATATAAACTACTACTGGTTTTTTTATATGTAGAATAGAAGCTGCAATATATAGAGAGGGTTTTTTTTGATAAATTGTTATAAAGAAAAAATCTGGTTATACATTTAAATAAATAATAAAGGAAAATGCAGTTAAGACAAAAAAGAAATAAGATTGAGCAAAGGATGTCTGCTTTTAACAGATGGCTGACTGACTGAGGTTAGATCCAAATTACAGTAAATACAACTGTGATAATTTTAGTTATCTAAATAAGAAAAGGAATCTGAATATGCTTCTTTTAAGATGCCTAGAGTTTTAACCATGAAGAAGTATAAGCAGAGTTGCTGTCACCCCTCTATTTTTTTGGCCAAAAAAAAAAAGGAAGAACTCATTATATGAACATTGCCATGTTATATAATGGCCTTACTAAATCAAATATACCCCAGAGTGAGTTTACTTTTTTAGCTAATTGCACACATTTAAGAGTCTCAGTTGTACTGCTTGCTTCAGCACAGAAACATTCCATATAACAATTTTTTTTTTTTTAATATTCAAGGAGAAATTGACAAACACAATTACACCTTTTTTTTTTTTTGAGACGCAGTCTCTCTCTGTCGCCCAGGCTGGAGTGCAGTGACACGATCTCGGCTCACTGCAAGCTCCGCCTCCCGGGTTCATGCCATTCTCCTCCGTCAGCTTCCCGAGCAGCTGGGACCACAGGCGCCCACCACTACGCCTGGCTAATTTTTTGTACTTTTAGTAGAGATGAGGTTTCACCTGTGTTAGCCAGGATGATCTCGATCTCCTGACCTCGTGATCCACCCACCTCAGCCTCCCAAAGTGCTGGGATTACAGGCGTAAGCCACCATGCCCGGCCACAATTATACTTTAATATACCACTATCAGTCACTGTAGTTGAAGATAAATAAGGATATCGATAATTTGAACAAATTACTTCCTTATGTTTTTAATTCATGTACATATTAAACCTTTACAAAAAAGGCTCTGGGACCAGCTGGTTTTATCAGTTAATTCTTTTAGACTTTGAAGATGCAGATGATTTCAGTGCTAGGTAAGATGTTCCAGAATACAGGACAACAAGATGAAGTTATTTATTACATTTCATGAAGCTAGTATAACTCGGGTAGAGCCAGAATACTCAAAACCAAAAACTAAGTTCACTGGTAGGGTATCAGTGAAAATCCTATCTAAAAACTAACAACTTAAATTTGTCTGTATTTTTAAAGAATTGCCTACTTAACATAATCAAGTTGATTATCTAAGGAATGCACTGATGGTTTAAAATGGGAAAATCTCTTAATTGTTATAGCAATGCATCAATTTTTTGAATACTTTCTTTTTCTTTTTTTTTCATATAATAATATATTGTGTACATCTCTCCATGTCTGTTCATACAGATAATCCTGATTTCTTTGGGGGCTATTTTGTATAAAGATACAATAGCTACTCTAGCCAATCCTCTATTTTTTGTTTTACTATATAATACAACAGTACAACAGTAAACATCTATTTACATATATTTGTGTGCAGTTAAATGAATAATTCAGGCCAGGTGCTCATGCCTGTAATCCCACCACTTTGGGAGGCCAAGGCGGGTGGTTCACTTGAGGTCAGGAGTTCAAGACCAGCCTGGCCAACATGTCAAAGCCCCGTTGCCACTAAAAATACAAAAGTTTTGCATGGTGGCAGTCGCCTGTAATTCCAGCTACTCAGGAGACTGAGGCATGAGAATCGCTTGTACCCGGGAGGTAGAGGTTGCAGTGAACCGAGATCACACCACTGCATTCCAGCCTTGGTGAAGGAGTAAGACTGTCTCGAAAAAAGTAAATAAATAAATAATAAAATAAAAAAATAATTCTCACTTCATAGAAAAAGATCTGGAAGGATAAACATTAAATTAACATTTATCTTGAGGAACACAATTTCAAGAGATTCACTTTCCACTTTGTACATTTCTATAACTGTTGACTAGTTTTCAGTTCTTTTTCATTGTTTTAAAAAGATGGGCTCGGTTCAGTGGCCCATGCCTGTAATTCCAGTACTTTGGGAGGCCAAGGTGGGCAGATCACCTGAGGTCAGGAGTTTGAGACCAGCCTGGCCAAAATGGTGAAACCCCGTCTCTACTAAAAATACAAAAAAAATTAACCAGGGGTGGTGGCGCATGCCTGTAGTCCCAGCTACTTCGGGAGGCCGAGGGTTCACTTGAACCAGAAGGCGGAGGTTGCAGTAAGCTGAGATCACGCCATTGCACTCCAGGTGGGTGACAAGAGCAAAACTCCATCTCAAAAACAAACAAAAAAAAATATGATTGTTGATTCAGTCAACAAAATTTTCACCAAACTTATACTGCAAACTAGGCATTGGCACCTGGTATTGAACTCCATTCAGTAATATTCACTACCCATTACTATTTTTTTAAGTGAATGGAACAATATTTACTTAGCATGATTTTTAAAAATCTACCCTAAAACAGTAAGGGAACATTGGATTTATTCTTACTATATCTAATATTTACCTGTCTCTAGATTGGAGTAGAAATTAGGAGGGAATTTGTAGGCATAAAAGGAAATGAAAAAATATCTAAGGTAAAAATAAATGCAGTTGAGTGCATAAATCAAATGAATGCATAAATTTTCATGGCAGAACACCGTAAACAAAAATAAAAAGCACTCACAAACTTGAACAAAATCTAAATGTGTATAAATAGAGATATAATAAATTATCTCATTTTATAATATTCTCCAGCCTACAAAATATTTTAAGATACCTTTTGATGTTTATAATAGTTGGAGGAAGACATATCTGCATGTAAAATCCAAATTGTATGTGTATTATTTTAAGTTTGTCTGTGTATAGGAAAAATATCTAAACAAAATGACGCATAAAATGTTACCACAATTATATCTTGGTCATGGGAATGCAAATTGTATGTATGTGATTTTTAAGTGTGTCTGTGTGTAGGACAGATATATAAACAAAATAACATATGTTACCATGATTATCTCTTGGGTTTTGGATTTTATGTATTTGTTTGCATTTTTGTTTACTAAATATATATTGCTTTTTAAGAAAAAGCTTTTAAAATATTTCAAACGTGCTGTATTTCATGCATAAAAATGTATTCTAAGCAAGGAAGTAGCACTTAATTTAATTGACTAAGGGGGTGCCATCATGAAACCCTGCCCCAAATTTTAAAGGATGAAAATTCCCAGTTTAAATATTAAGCATGTTGAACTCCAAGGAAACATTACTTGGTTAAACCATACCTTCCATCCCATCCTACCCCATCAGCAGAGAATGTTCCACTGTAGGAAGACGATGACTACATTTATGTATTTCAGAAACTGCAGCCTAGATTTTCTCCTAGAGCAGCTGAGAGTCACTCACTACCCATTAGCGGGTCATAAAATTAATGTAGTAGCTTTTAGGGTATTTTACTTAATAGAATAAAAGAGAACAATAGAAAACAATATAATGATCAGAGTACATCCCAAATAGTAAAGTATTATTTCATGAAATTTTTATTTAGTTGTATGTGTGTGTGTGTCTGTGTGTGTGTGTGTTTTCACACTGGGTAATAACATATGATGTAGTTTTTATTGTGGGCTGTGATCAGAAAAGTTTGAAAAGTTGAAAGTTTGTTGTCACCAAAGAGAGACAACAACAACATCATAAATTAATATTATTCAGTAAAGGCCTGGCCCAACTATACTATTGCTTACAGATAGATTATCATTCTTACCCATTACTCTGTGGTCTTACTCCATTTCCTAGCAAAGCCTGAATGGTCAAACATTATTAGAGAGTTACATTACAGAGGAGTCATTAATTTTCTAAATAATAGTTCCTGTAACAGATTTAAAAAATAAAACAGAAGTATTTTTATTATGAACTTTTTAGGAGCTTAAACTCCTCTGGTTTTGAATCTAGGATTTTGTTTACTACACTTGTAAATTAGCCAGGGATCCACAATGGGCATCCAAATTGCCTAAACAATATTGATAAGAACTTAGTAGAATGGAGTACATTGGCAAAATTTTGTAGACTAGTGAGTTGTTGGTCATTTATGAATAATAACATTATTAGACCAAGAATTGCTTTTCTACCCCATAAATTACTTATTTGGCCCTACTGTTTAAATCCAGAGCAAAATCATTTTCCTTTTTCCTCTGTGGTTACTATTTGTTAATATATCTGAGAAAAACATAAGTAACCTTTGTCTTCTGTGTGCCCTTAGTCTATGCAAGAAGTGATGTTAAGCAATCACATGCTGTGATCTAAGGGAAAAAATAAGTGTCCTACGACACGCATTCATTGAACACAGAACACATCTGTGACCAGATGTGTAGGGTTTTGCCTCACATCAACCTGTTCTCCAAAACAAGCTAGGTATCTCATAATTTAATTCAATTCTGACACTATCCGGAGGCAGACTAATATCCCACAGTTAAAGGCTCAGTCTCACAAGATTTTCCCCACTTTGGATGCCAATCAGAAGTCCAGGCATCCAGTATTTCTGATGGAGAGTCTATAAATTGGCATTTCCCATGACTCACTCCCTCATCAAGTTCAGTCATTTGCTGGAATGGCTCACAGAACTCAGGGAAATACTTACATATAGTGGCTGAT